AGTATTTGAAAAATAAGAATAGAGCCAAGGCACTGCAACTGAGTTCGATTTCGTATGAGACTAAGTGTATTCAAAACCAGTGCATTACTATTATTTCACCCAAAGCGTGATGTCAATCTATATGATTACGGGTGTTAACGTGTAGTGTAAAATAACTGAATAGGCTGGGCTGTGGCAATCGTAGTAATATTCCGCTTACACTGAATCATGCCACCAATTACTTTCTCAGCTCTCACTGATAAGTCAGCCCTCCATCTCGTCATGATGTCAAATTCAGTTTCACTCAGATAGAATAAGAAAAGTATGGTAAGCAGGATGTTGAATATATTTAATGAAAAATAATAACAAGCAAACGTCTTTACACAGTTGTTTGACGTAAGTATTCCGGCGATGTCGAATTGCTGTGACCAGGTTTACTGACGTTACCGGACATCTGCAAATAAGCGAATAAAGTCAATTTTTTATTTCCTTGCAGTTGGAAAAAGTGATATGAAAGTTAAGCACTTTATATTTGCCTACTTTTGCTGAATAAATTCATTCTCCCTTCTCATTCCTTGGTCGATACAGCATTCTTCCGTGGTTTTCCCCGTCACACACAGTGTTCATCTTGTCAAGTATAGCACTGAGAAAATAATAATTTAGTGTCGAATAAGGGGGTATTTACAAGGAATGCATTCCATTTCTACAGGCACAATAAGTTATGCCATAATTTGCAATCGTGAAGCATCATAAATTAATACTTTTTCAAAAGTCTGAATCGTTTAACTATTGTACAAGTAATCAGAACGGGTGATCATAAATGTTAAATTTTTAAACCCTTCACAATGAACACTGTATATTTGCGTAAGTGTTATGCCACCACGTGATTAAAAGCTATTTTAGGGGGAGAACGACGTCCTGAGAAACTGCATAATGGCATAAAACACAATTTTCGATAATGCGTCATTGAAAGTTCATCTTCAAGATATTGTTGTGATGCTCTTTTTGTTTAAACTTGCTTACACGCATGTCTTAGTACTTCTTCGCATTTATTATTGTGTCTTAACGTTGTGATTCCTCAACACCCACTACGTAAATCAAAAGGCACTTGAGAAGGAGAACGACCGTGTATTAATGCAGTAATCAAAATTCAAAAGTCGAGCGAGCACAAAAGTATCAATTGTAACACGCAATATTTAGAGTGATAAGCAAATCAAAGTTTAATAACATAGTGAAGGTGTACTACAAAGATGAGTAATAAAATGGGTCACCACAATAGCCCCTCCGTAGAATGCAGGTAAATGAAGTTTAACTGTATTCGGAATGTTATTGTAATTTGAAAGGACAGAAAAAATATATAAGAGTCTCTGATATGAAAACCGAATTGAGGATTCCAAGTTTTCTGAGGTTTGCTAACATGACTGCATATATTTGAAAATGCTAACAATTTTGAAATGAACCAAAATGTTTAGAAAGTTGTGCAAATGTAACAATAAAACCAGAAATATTATTAGAATAATAATGAGGTTGTTATTATAAACAGTTACAGAATAGATTTATATCTTACATGCAGTTAATAGCACAGTAATAAGGAAGAATGGAAATAACTTATAAAGAAATTGTCTGTACAAATCTTTGTGGCCAATGTACTTGCCTGCCTGACCTTGTAATTCTTTCTGTTTTGTTGGTCAGAATATCAACAGGTTTTGGATCTTGAGAGCGGGAATCATATTGTGGTGTAACTTATGATGATGTTGATGGCTTGGATAAACATTCAGTCGCCTCTATTTCCATGAGAGCTGGTTTTACACGATCAGTGCTCACATTCTCGTGTTTCCCTCCGCGTTCGACAGTGATGATTTTGTTTGTTCTGTTTATTACTTTAAATGGTCCGTCATAGGGTGGTTGAAGTGGTTTTCTTATACCGTCGTGTCGTATGAAGACGTGAGTGCAGTCGTCTAGTTTTTGAGGCATGTATTCCTAGTTGAGCTGACGTCGCGGGGATGACATCTTAAAAGGCTCATATGTTATCGCAGTTGTTACGCAAAAGTAGTTTCGTTAGTTGGAACTTCAGTGGCTGGGTTGAAATATTCATCAGGCAGTCGTAAAGTAGTTTCATAAACTAATTCTGCTGGACAGCAATCGATATCTTGTTTTATTGTTGAGCGTGTTCCTAGAAGTACAAGTGGTGATTTGTCACTTATCATCATCGTTCTTTGCCATCAATGCTGCTTTCGGCTGACGATGAAACCTCTCCACTAAGCCCTTTGAACTGGGATGATAAGCAGTAGTGCGTATACGCTTGATTCCCAGCAGTTCTGTGAGTTTTTGGAATAAATGTCTTTCGAATTGAGCACCTCTCTCAGTAGTAGTAATGCAGGGCACTCCGAAGTTGGAAATCCAATTTTGTATGATGCCATTTGCAAAAGTTTCAGCTGAAATATCAGGTAAGGTACTAGCTACTGGCCATCTCTCAAATTTGTCAGTACACGTCAAGATACAAGTAAAGCCGTCAGATGGCGGTAATGGCCCAAAGATGTCGATGTGTATGCGTTCGAACCTACCATCAGGCTCTGGAAACTGGCCATTAGATGAAACTGTATCCAATATCCGATATCGTTTTTACGAGCTAGTATAAACCAATTTGATTTCTTTGTGCTCGCTTCTTGATTGTGAGGTATAGGTTCCTGATCTTCGGTTAACTTCTGCGTAGCTTGTCCCGCCACTCGACTGTCGTAGCTTTGGTTGACTCCAAAGTGAGTAGTGCTGGGATTAATTTTATGTGGTTTGTAGTATGAGTATGTTAAGACTGTTACTACTGTGATTGGAGTTGATCCTTTCGCCAGCTAGTCCTCTGGTACCGTCGACAAGAGAAAAGAAATAGTAATAACAATAATAATGCTAATAATAGATATAATTAGTGAAGCTATTCAGACTAACAGACAAAAACGGAAATAGGAAAGCGTAACAATAGTCAGCTGATTAAGCTTGAAGAATAAATATATATATACATATGGATATATATCGGCGATAATAATAATAATAAAAGTAATGATAATATTAATAAGTTGTCAGGAGAGTAAGACGGGAGAGAATGTAAAGAAATAAAACGACGAGTTTAATTGTTTAATTGAATGGTGTATGCAATTTTAAGGGGATAGGCCATTTGGATGCAGTCCTTGTGTCTCTGCATGGTTGTCCAGCCTTCGCTTAAAGGCGTCCAAAGACGGTGCCATAGCTACATCTGCCGGCAAGGAATTCCAGGGACGGCAAACCCGCAGTGAAAAGAAGTGGGAGCGCACCCGGGTCCTTGCCCTCTGGTGAGCTATCCTTCTGGGATTTCCACGTGGGAGCCTATACCTACTCAATGGCAGAACACCTTTGTTTGAGTGATTCTGGTCATTTGTTATTTTGTAGGCAGTAATCAAATCCCCCTAAGCCGACGGTAGCTAAGTGTGAACAGGCCTAATTTCTTCAGCCTTTCATCATATGGTTTGTTTCGGAGACCAACCACTCCTTTTGTTGCCAGTCGTTGGACTCTTTTTAATAGGTTGGCGTCTCTTCTCAGTATTGGGGAAGCAATAATATTATGCACCTCAAGGTGTGGCCTGACGTATGTTTTGTACAACATTAGAAAGAGCTCAGGAGTGAGTGCACCTAACTGTCTATGCGTAAAGTGTATGACCGCATATGCCCTCACTACATCCCCTGTGTAATTTACGCTTGTGTCCATTTTTTCCGTTAGAACTAGACCTAAGTCGCATTCCGACGGTGTGCAGGACAAGCTTTCATTGCACAGGGTGCAATAATATCATTGTATTAGGTGAAACTATATTATATATATTTCTTCCTGTTTATGCAGGAACACACCAATTATACAGGCATGGATAAGTTATTATATAAATTACACATAATTTAATGTATGATGAATTTACAGTTTGGTTGTTCTTTCTGACATCAAAGTCAGTCGGAACAGTCTGCTATAAAGTCTGTTTGTGTAGCATATAAAGAGATATAGAAATATTGTCTTCGCATTAACAAAAAACCCAGACATCAGATGAATGTAATACAGATACATGTAAATACATGATGTCAGCTCATAAACTACATTTGTTTATATCTAAAATGAATCTTATCTTACCATTCTAATACTATAATCCTGTATGTTCAAATTTTCTAGAACAACATATTATAACTTACCACTGCTTATTTGCTCAATGCTGAACGATTCCTCCCTGATTTTCTAAACTACATTCGTTTATATCTAAAATGAAGTCTCAGATAGGCTTTCTTTCTTACATTTTTCGTCTTCAAAATGCTGTAAAAGATGAAACATACATGATGTTCTTCTGAAAGTTGTCATTCATACCATAAATTTTAGTAAGTCGACGAATAAATAGTTGGAGAAACAAAAAGTGTGTGGCATTTTGCAACAGAAATTAAAAAAAAATACATAAATAATTTTTTTAAAAATGAAGCACTCCGACAGGGCCTTGCACAAAAAAGGTGGGAGGGTGGTGACTGCTAGTCAGCGGATATGATGGTGGGGACATATGAGAACCACCCTTATCTGTGGGACAGCACTCTATTGCTATGGCTCCTGAGTTCGGATGGCTTCTGCAAAATGAGAATTAATAAAAACTAAAAAAAATAATGAAAAAAGAAATAGAAGTTGAAAATTGCCTAGAGCCGAAGTTTAGACGCAAACTCCCGATTGAAAGTAAATGGTATGAGTCCGCTACTTCAGAAGGACACCGAACTGTATACTTCAGAAAAACATATATTACTAGGCCCTCGCTTTTCTTTTACAAAGCTTACGCACTCTGACTTTTGTGTTTAACTCCTTTTAAACCTCGTAAGTAGGTGAAATTATCACCTGTCACCTATCACCTGTTAAGTTGTTTTACTGCATCAAATGGTGCCGAGGTCGATTCCAGAATTCTCCATTTGCTCCATTTGTGTCTGCATGGCGGACTGTATTCGTAAGTTGAGTAAAATGTTGAAAACTGTTTGAAAACCAGTTGCTTCTTCATTTCAGATCATGAATACTCATTTACAGCATGTTCGCCAGCGTCTTCAAATGGTAGAATTGGATCGTTCATGGAATTTGAGTGGTTATGAGATAGACGGTTTGGAATTAATCCTCATTTCAGTTTAGATGCAGGGTTGTTCGACCTCGACCAGAAGATGAATAGGAGCAGCAAAATACCAGAAAGAGAAAGTATGTGAACATGAAAAGGACATTTATGTATTATGCATTTATAAATGTTTATCTTAATTATACTTAAGTAAACATTTTTCTATATTGTATTTGTTTTCACGTATTTATGCGAAGTCTTAGAGTTTATTTAATGTCATAATGTGTATTAATGAGTCTGAGCGTTTTAGTGTTCTAATGACTGATGCGTTTTAGAAATAAGTGATGGGTTCTGGTAGGGATAGTCATTTGGACAAAACAGTTTATATAGCAAGCGTTTGAAGGTTACAATGAGGGATAGGTCCTATTTCTAAGGGTAAACTAATCCTGTATGTTCCGTACTATGTCTTTATGCATCCATGCTGCTAGTTTATTTATAGTTTAAAGATTGCTAAGGGTGTTGAAGTGCGTCTTTTAGGTGCTGTAGTAGATTAGTGGTTGATTCGTTCTAGGAGTAAATAGTTTATTAATATAATCAGTAGAGTGAAACAGTCTGTATAGAGAGCGTTTGAAGCTTGTAACCGAAGAGCAAGTTCTGACATCTAGGGGTAGGCTATTCCATATTTTAGAATACATGACTGTGAAGAAGTTTTCACGGAGTGTTGACTTAAAAGAATGAGTTGTCACTGTGGAAGTTTGGTTACGCAGATCGTAAGAACCTTCCTGTGCGAATTGTATGTCCCTGTTACCTGAGAATGATATTTTGTGAAGGACCTTAAAGAAGAATATTAGGTTTATAATAAGTCGCCTTGTCCAAAGTGGGTCAAGTTTTAGGATCATGCACCGTGAGATGTAGTCTTTCTTACAATCGTAGCCAAGCAGTTTTGAGGTAAAATATCGTTGGATACTTTCCATCCTTAGCTTGTCGCGTGTGCGAGTGCTGCTTATAATAAATGGACAGTATTCTAGTAGTGGTCTGACACATGTTTTGTACAGAATTAGCTTGGCTTCATTGTCGTGAAAGTTCCTGAGTATGCATCCTAAGAGCATCCTCGATTTTCTAGTCTGTGATGCTACTTGCTCTGAGAATGTCAAGTCACTAGAGTACCTCAAGCCTAGGTCAACGACACTTCGGAGTCTTGTTAGGTTAGCAGATTGGAGCGTTAATTTCAGGTCAATTGAGGGTGCACCGAAGCAGATCCAGCCACATTTGTTCAGATTAAATTGGAGATTCCATAGGGACGACCAAGCAGCCATTTTATCTAATTCCTTCTGTACTACATTCTCGAAGTTCCCTAAGTCATCACGTTGGAATGTATAAGCTACTTTTAGGTCATCTGCAAAGATGAATGGTTTCCCGTGCGTGAAGCAAGCGCATATGTCATTGATGTATAGTGTAAATAGGAGGGGTCCAATGACACTACCTTGTACTACACCAGAAGTGATAGGGCTAGGTTTGGAGGTTGCAGACCCGAGTTTAACTATTTGGGACCTATTGTTAAGGAATGATTTAAGCCATCCTAATAATGGGTCACGTATTCCTAAGGAGTTCAGTTTATTTGTTAGCAGTAAATGGTCAACACGGTCAAATGCCTTAGAAATGTCAAAGTAGATGACAAGTACTAGTTGCCGTCTGTCACGACTGCTGGTTACAAAATTGAAGAAGTCTAGGTGACATGTTAAACATGATCTGGATTTCAGGAATCCATGTTGGTTCGGACTTATGATGTTGCAGCTAAGCATATGTTTGATTAAGTTATCTTTGACTAGTCTCTCCATGATTCTAGATGCTATAGGTGTGATATTGATTGGCCGGTAGTTACTGACTTCAGTTTTCGAGCCAGATTTGTGTTTAGGCATAATGAATGTTGTCTTCCATATGTCAGGGTAAGTTTGGGTTTCTAGGGACATTGTGAATATTTTAAGCAGCAGTAGAGGAATGTCAGGGCCACCATATTTATAGAAGTAAGATGATATACCGTCGGTACCGAAACCTTTTGAACTTTTGAGGGTTCTTATAGTTTGGTTAATATCAGCGTAAGTGAATTGAACAGTGCTAATTTGGTTTGGTGTGAGTGGAGTTGGAGTTTGTGCCATTTTAGTAATAGGGTGTATATCGAGTAGCTGGACTGAGGGCTTAAGGTAGTTACCTGCAAACGTTTTGTTGAATAGTTCACATATGTCTGCAGAGTTAGTGCATAGCCTACCTTTGTCTATGAGGAGAGAAATGCTGTGATTTTTGCGATTCATTCGCTTCCTTAAGATTTCTGTGAGTGCATACACTCTAGCAGGACTGGCTACTGCGATGCGTTCTTCCTTTCTCATACGGAAATCTTGAGCTTGTGTGATGGAGCTAAGGGTTTTAAGTATTAGACCTAGAGTGCCAAAGTCGTGGTGTTTGAAGTAACTTGTTGAGAGTTTCTTCAGTTTCTTACGATCCTTTGGTTTTATGAATGACTTTCTGTGTGGGGAAACCTTTAGTGTTTGGAGTGGAATGACAGCATCTAAGCATATGTTTGAGTTATGGTAGAAGATGGTTAGGGCTCTCGATAGGTCATCAGTAGTGAAGTATTCATCCCATTTGGAGGATCTTAGCATCGATTCAACTAAGGCCCAGTTTGCCTTACTATAGTTCCTATATATTACTTGTTGTGAAGTGGAGGTATGAGATGCATTGCTACTCAGCGGAATTGGCAGTGCACACATTACTGTTTTGTGGTCGCTCCCTGGGAACTCAGAACCTACTAGCGTTGAAAGGGGGCTTATATTGTGGCAGAAGATTAAGTCTAGTACGTTGTTACCTCTTGTGGGAGTAGTGACAGTTTGTTTCCAGCCAAGTATATCCAGTGTGTCTAAGAACTTATCAAATTTAGTTGGACCTGTGGGTATATCCCAGTTGATTTCAGGTAAGTTAAAGTCCCCACATAGGATCTTATGATCGTATTGTAAGTCGGTTAATTGCTCCAGAGTATTAATAAGTTGGGTCTCGTAATTACTAAAGGTGCCAGGTGCTCTGTAGGTGCATCCAATTAATGCTGTTACGTTATTTAAGTGTACATTAACCCATAGAGTCTCAGGCATGTTAAGTGTACTACTTTCTAGCTGTGATACAGTAAGTGCATTCAGAAAGTACATGAGACAACCCCCTCCCTTACCACCTTCCCTGTCACACCGAAAGTGTGTGTAGTTATCTAAGCTTATTTCTTCATCCAGGATGTCCGAATGACACCAAGATTCAGTGATGACAATTACAGGGGGTTTGTATATTACTGTGAGTGCTCTGAGCATCGGCAATTTATTTAGAACAGATCTAGCATTTATGAGGATTACGTAAAGATGAGAGTTGAAGTAGCATTTGAAGTATTTAAGTTCGTTAGTCAGCCCCGAATATGGTTCAGCACCCAGTAGTTCTGCTGGACATGACGATCCTATGTTAAGAGGAGTTCCAGCATCATGCTCACCTATGTCTATCGAGTTGTTGTGTGCTGTTTTCGGTGGAGAATTAGGAGTTGGAGTACTGGATTTGCTATAGACTAAGGAACTTTTATTTTTAGTTAGGTTACAGAAGTGGGTAGGGTTCTTTATTTGGCCTATACTTGTGCAAGTGTCAAGTGTGTCCAATGGATACGGGTGCACTAGACCGTTCCTGTTTTCATGCAAGGAGGGAGCCAGCACTAGTGGTTTAGGAGTGTTAACATCCCTACCAGCTGTTTTTTCAACGCTGACAGGGACGCGGGGGATAAAAAATGATTGGATCCTTGTGATGACCATGGCTTATTATTCCACCTATTGTTTGATGCTAGTTGTGTCCTTGTGTGGGTTTCGTGTGTACTGCATTTTGGGTTAGTTCCCAGCAGACTTGTACCATATATCCGGTCGAAATTTGTTTGTGTGCCATACTCTGAAGACCCTGAGTTGTTGGTAGCCGAGTTCTGACTATTACCACTTGTACTATTTAGGGTGACATCGTTGTGACATTGGATATTAGTGTGTGCCACGGTGCGATTTAGCACGTTGTGAGTGCTAATACTATTAACCGTGGGGAGTGTGGGCTTATTTAAGCTGCCACTGTTTTTGTTGGTATGATTTAGGGGCATATTTTCCTTATCTTTACCAATGGAATTATAGCTAGGAGAGGACAAAGTCGAATTTCGGGGGGTTTTAACTTTTTTTCTGGGGTTATTTAGTGGCATTTTAGATTCTGCGGTGATGGGTGGTATGGTTTTATTATTTATTTGGTTACAGTCTAGTGGCCTTTCGGCTGGTGTTGCACTCTGATGGGATATTTCTGTGTGTTTTGAGAGGGGTGATGCGGTGGGGTCTACTGTATCTTTCACAGGGTTGGGAATAATGGCTGCTTGCAATGTCCTATTACCTATTTCACAATTAGTCTTAGTGAGATAGTTGTGTGCGCGCCTTTCTATAACTGTTTTTTCCACCCCGACCTTTATATGTTTGTAGTTTCTGGCTTGCGATAGGGTGTGTTGGGAGTGAATGAATTTTCTGGTCTCTGCCGGTGTTTCGAACTGAAAACGAATAGGACAACACTTTTCATGTTGACTCTTCTTCAGCCTGTAGCACTTAGTCTTGGAGTTAGGCATTTTCGCTTCACTAAGTAAGATGCGCTGTACCTTTTTTAGTGCCTCATTGTCCGGAACGTTGTAGACAATAGCACTCAGTTTTGCGTCGAGTCGTTTTGTTACTTCTGTGGTAACAAAGTTAATGAGGTTATCTACCTTAGTTACCGATTCTGTGTCAAGCTTGTTAAGGTTTACAGTTTTCATGAGGATAGTTAGAGGTGTCAGTTCACAGACCTGCGATCTGATATCGCTGATCTGATCTGATAATTTGGATATCTCGGTATTGGTTTCGATGTTTCCAGCATTTACTGACTTACTGTTTTTTATTTCCCTTAACTCAGCCTTAAGTTCTCCTATAGACAACTTTAGAAGTTCTATTTCTGAAGATAGTACTGAAAAAGAGCTTGATGGCTGGAGTTTCTCCATAAGCACATAAGGTGAAGGGAGGAGTTCTGTATGAGCAGAGGGTACCGAATTTTTAGGAGTAGTGCTAATACTGGCTGT